CTTGATTTTAGATTCTTTACATTTTAATTAGTGAAAAATTATTTTTTTGTAAGAACCTACCACGTAAAACGTTTAGACCAGACCAAGCAAATCAAGAGTAGAAACTTAGAAAAAAAATACACATTTTTAATGCGCACTCAAAATAAACAAGCAATCAAATGTATAAGAATAAACCATAAAATAATAGTACATGCCTTTTATTATTAAAAATAGTAAATAATGTATAAGAATAAACCATAGAATAATAGTACATTTCTTTTATTATTACAATTAGTAAATAAAGAAAAATAGTATTTGAGTTGCTTGTCTTATACAACCTAGTTGAAATTACAAACTCAGCCTGTGGATGTTCAAGTTTTGATTTCTAATGCATCTAGGGCTTTAATTTGGGGTTCATCCTTTTGGTTCATTGTTCTTGTTGCTGTATTCCAAAGGCATATACGACTTCCTAAATATCTATAAATTACATTTAAAAGGAAAAAAAAGACTCAATCCTACAATTCAAATATTAGGAAGCATGTATATATATATATATATATATATATAAGCTACCTATTAGCGTGACAACTTAGGACTTTCAAACGACACTTGCAAGCATACTTTGTTAGATTATATTGACTTAATTATTTGCTCCCTCTAGGCATGACCACCTATATGAAAAAAAATTCTCTCTATCTTAGCACTTATGGGCAAGATTGTGCTATCTTGTGTGGTTAAATATCCCAATCACATGCGCCAAAATAAATAAATACTAGGATGCCTAGAGGCTGCATTTCTAGTGTGTGCTGGCTTATGGCTGTTACACTATAGTTGGGCGTTTTGTTTTATTGTGAAATAGGAAAGATATTTAATTTTGTTTAATCTAAGAGTGGTTTTATTTTAAATTGTTTGTGATTTAAAGCTTTTATTTTACTTTTAAAAATGTTATATATATTTTTAAGGGTTATAAAAAATATATGGGATGACCATTGCTCACTTTGAGGCAAGCCTGTCGCTTATTATGTCATAAGATTCAAAGATATAAACGTTCCACCTTTGAGGTGAAATAATACATGTTTGCATCAAAAGAAACTTAAGAATGTTTTTAATGAATTTTAGTTAATCTCTTAGTGTATGGATAAAAGAGAGAAGGTTGCTTAACTAGGGTAAAACAAATTTGCCTACGGGAAAGAGAAGTTTCTAAACAGATCAAAAAATTTGTATTTTAGCTTAATGAAGGGTGAAATCACCTATTTCGGCCAAGTGATGGGGAATCTTGAGTTTGCGCCTAGATTGAGAGTCCACCTCTTTCATTGTGTGCGCTTTTATTTGATTTGAGTCCAATAGAAGAAGCTTAGGTTTAGGGGCCTAGTGTTGGGAACCATTTACTTGATTGAAGTTAAGGAAATGAAGATGAAGAGTTTTGAGGCTAAAGTGGTGTTGGAACTTCCTATAGCTTTAAAGCTATAAGGATAATGGAGTGCAACTTATAGCTTTCGTGCAAAGCATAGGAACATTGGAGAACTTCCTCTGCTTTTTTTTTTGGCTGAGGAAGATGGGATGTTTTTTGTGTCCATAGAAATGAAAGATGGGTATAACATTGAGGCTACAAATCAAGAAGGGGTATTTGAATTTTTGTATTCAAGGATCAAAACTTATTTGCTTAACATGTGTTTGGAAAATGTGGGAGGCTAAGAGTGAGATCATATATGATCATTTATTGATTTTGGCTCAACAAATAGGTCAGGGAACCTAGAATTTAATTCTAGGAACTTTTGGTGTTCTCTTTGACTCCTTAGATGTTATTTGGAAATTTATATGAGTGTTCAAAAAGGCACCTAGATAAGGGAAGGCTAGCTTGGATGATATAAGTTGAATTTAATTCAACTTTAATTAGGATAATCCTAAGATTTATCCTAAAGATGTCCCAGGATTCGTGCAATGAGATTCCTGAAGCCTTGTTGAGCTTCAAGATACTATACACAAGGAAAGAGGGCTCTTAAGAATATTTCATATTTTTTTAGAATGTTTGGATTCATTAAATAGGAGCAATCATCTCTACAGCTGTGGGGAATTTTGAGATCAAATTTTTTCATGATCTAGGAACCTTTAAAATGCCCGAAGGTGTTTTCAATTTTAAGGAATTTATAAATTAGAGAAATTGCTTATTATTATTATTATTATTATTATTATTATTATTATTATTATTTCATATGTTCTAGGCTTTGCAATATATCAAAGGTGAATTTGATTAGTTCTACCCGTTGTGGAACTTGCAACATACAATAATTTAGGGGTTTTCTGAATTAAATAAAACTCATTTTTTGGGCATTTATCAAAACTTAGGAAGGTCCATAAATCTTATCATGTGCAAGCTCATATATCTATAGGTTAATTTTATCATAACTTATGATTCGGTAGGAAGGGCATGAAAATAATGGTGATTGAAACCTACATGTCACCATTTGATTTGGGATCTAACAGCGATGTCTAACCTATGGTTCGATCATAGGAAAAGGAAGACTCCAATATGAATGCATTGGAAGGTCATTAGACTTTCGCTCAATTGCCCACTTGTTGGGCTCTCAAACGAGAACAACCCATTGGAAATCACCGATCTCCACAAATTTGCAAAGAGGGCAACAGGGTTTTCAGGTTTGAGAACATAAAATAAAAAAAATTTACACATACCTAGGGTTTGCGAGGAGCGTCATGCACATTCAGGGAGCCAAAAGACCTGGTTTTTTTTTCTAAGTTTTAGAAATATACCTCACTGAAGCTTAATGCTCAGCGGCCGACTGTAGTACCTTTGTCTAGAAGAGACGAAGGCATCTAAAATGAAGGAGGTTTGCTTTTTAGATTGTTTGGGATATCTCATACATCACCAACACCACCTTCTTGTTGTAGTTGATGTTTGAGGAGGAATAAGAGGCCTGACTCCTCTCGGATATGAAGATTGTTCCTGTCTTCTCATCCTCAGATCAACATCACAAATGTTGTTCTCAGCCTCATTTCTCTCTGAGAATCTCTAGCAAACACAACTACTCCCAACCCTCAACTTGTGGAATGCCAAATAAATGGAGAAGGAAGAAATGCTAGCTCTCCCCTTCTTGATTTCAAAAGGACCAAAGCCTAAAGGAGCTTTCTAGCCATGACTTTTCTTACCTCTCTAAGTTTAGGAACACTAGAACAACCCAATTGCTTCTCATCTTTAAAAAAAAAAATCCTGAAAACCAGCCTTTCTTGATTTGTAAGAACAATACGAAGGAGGATAGCAACTCTCACTTCTCCAAGTAGCACACACTCCTCACTCAAGCTCCCCAGACACACCACATACCCCTCTCCAAAGTCGAAGCTGCTTTCTCTAGAATCCGAAGAAATGAAGCAGCCCGCTCTCTCTTTTCTACTAGTCGCACGCAAATGGAAGTCCAGGTTGATTGCCCCTTTGTTGCTTGCGAATAGCCACCAACACCTCTTGGTTTTGCCCAAGCATACAAAAAGAATGCTATTTCAAAGACAATCTGAGTCTCTCTACGACTTCATATCAACTGCATAGATGTATTCCTCCTTGCCCTTGACTGCTCCGACCCATTAGGCAGGTATAGGAGATCATGAAAAAAGCCTAGAGAAGGAGGAGCGCAGACATAGAAACTGCAATTTTAACTATCGGATGCCCAAGCCTGATTTTGAATGAATTGGAATGGCCAAGGCAAGATGTGTCCAACCCAATTTAAGAAATGAACCATACACGTCTATTTGTGCCTAATTTGGATCCGATTTGATTCGATTAGACCCAATCAAAATTGAATTGGCTTAATTTAGTTCAACTTGACGTGATTCAAGTTGATTTGATTTAATTTTATGCAATTTAACTCAATTCGAGGCGATTCAACTCTATTAAAGTTGATTAGACTTGGTTGGCTTAATTTAATTTAATTTGGTCCAATTCAACTTTTAATGAAATTAAAGTCAAATCAAACGATATAATCGATTAAATTGAGTTGATTGATTTAATTTAATTGATTCGATCAAAACATTGAGTCGAATTGGTATTAATTGGTTAAATTTACTTAAATTGAATCACCTTGCGTCAAAAGTGAATTGAAATATGATTTTTCACAAAATTGAGCCTCTTGAATAAAAAAAATTGAGTCAATAATTGAAAGTAATTAGAATGTGAATGATATGTAAATAATTTAGAAAGAGTGGTAGAAAATAAACTTATTTGATAAATAATTCTATAATTTATTAATATTAAATAAGAATTTGACATTGTATTTAAAAAAAAATAGTTAATTAAATAGTGTGGGAGCCAATATGGAGTCTAGTATCAAGCCTTTAGCAAGTTATTTGTTGAACAATAAACAAGTTGATTTGTGTTCAAGTTTTGTTCATTTAATCTTTTGAACTCTTAAAGAATGTTCAAATTACTAACTCGAGTATTAAATTTAGCCAAGTATGAGTTATTTATCGAGTTTATTGATATATTTACAGCCCTATATATGTATGTGTGGAGGAATGGGCATTGTTATCGGATGCCTATGATTCTGCATTTAAATTTGGTTAAGTAACAACATGGTATTTGTAGCAGCACTGGAGATGGATATTTAATCAAGAAATATGATATTGCATTGGTGCTACAACTGACTATATTCTTGCCACCTCATGTATTGGCTAGTCTACTTTAGGGTTCCAACCCATATATTACCTACTTGACTTGGGGGAATACAGGCTAACAGAACCTGATTGTTGCCATATTATTTTCTGTTCTTATAAGGTTCTCATTAACGTTATTGAAAGTGGGCCTTTTTAATTAGTTTGAATTTACCTTGAATCCACTTTCTCCAGAATATTATTTGTTTAACAGATCAAATGCTGGTGTTTTAATACTAACATTTCTCTTATCAATTGAATGCATTTTGTTTCTAGCCAGAGATTGTTAAGCTTATCAGTTATTTGTATAGTTTCCAAATCATCTTTGAATATATGCCTATTTATCTTTGCCATCATTCTTTGCTTAGGTTTTGCTACATGCCACCATTTAATGGAAAATGTGAAGCTCCTGAACAACAAATGGAAGCAGGAGTTGTTACTGTTGCTGCGACGAGGCACCAGAACGACCCTGAAAACTCTCATACTAAGTCTGATCAATCATCGCCATCACCGAAAGTCATTGCGACTAATGAAAATCGTCTCGATCCACATGCAAATGACTCATGTAGAAAAAATGCTGAAGCTAAATGTGAAAACTGGGGCCTAAAAGAAAGGAGATCAATGAGAATGCCTAAAAGCATTCATCAGTTAAATCCATCTGCTAGCAATAATGACTTAAAGCCTAATCATAGGAGTTTTAAGAGGGAAAGTAACTCTAGGTCTCAGAGTAAAAGGCCTCAAGGAAGGGAAGAGAATAGATATGATCAGAGATTTGAACTGAGAGCTCAAAAATTCTTTCATGATGGGAGGGGCCATTCCAAGAGAGATTACAGAACTTATCATAATAAACACAACCCATAGATCTAGATATAAATGTGGTACTAAGCATTCTAGTATTGTAGTGGACTTTGTCTTTTGTACAGTGTTGATATGTTTTGAAGGAAATCAGGAATATTGAAGGCCAAAGGGGGGAGGGTCTTCATTTATTGTAGGGAATGGCTTATAAATTCCTGTGAATTGTTTTTTGAATGATCCTAATTTTGTTTTAGAGATTTGTAACTCTATTTGTTTATATTATAGGGATGTGTAAATTTGAAATATTTGATTTTGTGTAACATATTTGAATGGATAGTTCTGTTTGCCAAAGGAGTAAAGGCAATGGAGTGAAGTGGGCTCACATAAAAGATTGGGAATACTTTTTATTTATTTATATTTTACTTAAAATAAAATATATTTCTTTTAAATATATTTTTATTTATTTATGCGGTTGCTAGTGGGCTAGTGGTTGTAGTTAGTGAGGTGGTCGTGAGTGTGGAGAAATTATTTGTTTCGTAGTCCGGACGTATCTCTGTGTTTGAACTCTAATTAAATTTGGAAATGTGGATATCCACTGCTTTCTTTTGTAAGGAAATTTTTTTTAGAAATTTGCAATATGTTGTAATTTACTTTATTTTTGTTGTTCTTTTGTTGTGCTTTTATTATGTTTTTGCTATCCTTTTGTTATGATTTTGCTTTGTGAGTAGTGAAATGCTACGATGAAAAAAAAAGAACTGAAAAAGTGAAATACAAATAAATCTCCATGTGTCTGCTACATTTGTCAAAATTTAATTGGATTTCAGACATAGAGTTAGGTCCACACTCCGCACCAAATAATTTCTTTAGATCGCTGTTGGGGATGTTAACTATTAGCGACAATAATGGTGGTTGATAGTGATGATGGCAACATATAGTGGTGATTTTTGTAATTGGTCTTGATGTTTTTTTTTTTTTTAAATAATTAGTGCAACTGAACATTATTTTATAAGTAATTTGTTTTTAAAAATTGAAAATAATATTAATTAAAAATATAGTAAGCAAATTTAAAAAATAATAAAATTGATCTCAATTAAATCTGAAATTATTGTTTGGGATTATTTTTTTTATATATATTAAAACATAAATAACAGCTATGTTTGTTGTACACTATGATAAGTGGGCACATGCGACTTATAGGGAGAAGCTTGGCTAAAAGGTGCACTCATTTAAGATGTCCCATTGATAGGGGACCAAATACAATAAAATTCAATGAGGGTAGGCAATCTTCCTAGTGATGCTTGACCAATTAATCACACATCCCTCATTAGTTTGACTAAGACAGGTATTAACCTCATCAGACCTTGACCTAGGGAAGTTTGTAAAAAAACTTAAAGAAAAACACCCTAGTTGAGGTGATTGACCTCTCCGAGAGGGTTCGTCATCCAAATTATATGAGATGACTACCTAACAACCAAGTAGTAATGACCTTATTAGTGATGATAGAGTCTTAGATTAAACAAACTTATCAAAGGGACGCACTTAAGGTATTTGCTTGAGAGAACTTGCTCAGGACACTCGCTTGAGAGGAATAACTAAGGGCACTTGCTCAAGGAACACTCATGGGAGAACATATTCATTAAGAGCACTCATCTCTAATACTCGCCAAAGGAAGCTAGATCCACGTAAGATTGGGAATATGTATGTATATGTAATAAAGTAGTCGATGTGTCTTATAATAGTTTATAGCCATCCAATATAGTATCTTATGTAACTTTCTCAATCCTATAAATATGGGGTTGAAAGGTATCTTTAGGATATTATGACATTATTATGTCATTTTTATTACTCATAGACAGTAGTTGATTCTATAATTCTTCTCACAATGATAATTTAACCATCATCATTTAACTACAATCCTCTGACATCATTACCCAATTATGATCCTCCAGCCACTATTATCCAACTATGGTCATTAAATTATATCTATGAAATAATTAGTAAATATGAAAACATAAATTATAATCTTGATAAGTAATTAGAAAAAAAAAAATATGTTATACAAAGTATATAAATTTATCTCATATTAGCTCAAAATTCAAATTAAAATTGATCATTTTTCACCCTTATAGACTTTGACTTGATGTAGCTAATATAAAAAATGATTTCGATTTTAGGTATGTATACATCCTAATTCTTTAATGCATTACTTAAAATCTTTATTTTTTTTTTTAATTTTCACAATTTAATTAAAGTGTGGAAATGCCACTTTGAAAGTGGATATCATGTAGAACAAAATAAATGATTTATTTTAGTGGTTAATGATAATCATGTCACACTACCTTTTTTTTTTTAATCTAAGAGAAATATGTATCTTCTTAGGCATTTTATCTTATGAGATTTTTGAAGAATCAAATAAACATGTATATTTTGAGCCTTTTAGCTTTCTAAGATTTTTTTAGAATAAAAAAGACTATACTTATGGAGCTTTTAACCCTCTAAGTGTTCTAGAGAATAAACAAAATATGTGCCTTATAAGGCATTTAATACTCCGAGATTTTTTAATAATCAAAGGAATTGACATATAACTTTTGAGGCTTTTAACCTTCTAAGATTTATTCAATAAGTAGAGATCCTATCAATCACTTAATTACTCATATAGAGTCTTTTTAATGAGGACCGTATCCATTACTAGCTTTAATGAGGCCTAACATAAAATTTTGCATGAACTAGAAGCATTTGTTGTGTAATCTTCATGGTCGGGCTACTGGGCTTCAATGATTAAGTTGTAAGTCTTAAACATAGTCTGGCCTATCTTGCATTTTATGCACGATGACTTTGGCATTATATTTTTGAAACAATTAGGTGGATTTAGCTTGCAATCTTTTTTAGGTGGGTTTTTGGTTCCGTAGATTTGGTTCTACTCAAACTGGTAATGCAGTTGAAAGTTATAAGTCCCTTATATTTCTTTAGACTTAGGTTCATGCTTCTATTTTTGTAGTAGTTTTTTTTTTTTAAGAAGCATATATTAATAATAAAAAAATCCGGTTACAATAAGATAGAGCAAGGAAAGAAAAAAAAATTACAAAAAAACCACGGGCTCAGTAAGTGGTTGAGGCTTCCAGCACCACCACACCCCACCAGGACCGTCCAAAAGGTGGAGAAAAACAGCCTACCCGAACCAACCCGAAAAATCCACAGCAATGGTTACCACCAGCGAAATACAATGATGCGAGCCCCAACCCATCATTGCCCAATCTTCGACATAATAGCAAAACCACACAAAAAAACAATAAATAAAACAAAGACAGGATTGCATAAATCAGTATCGCCTACGGCGACCTGTGCCTCTACCACGAGATCTGCCCCGAGTTCCAACATAAGAAGTGGGTCTAACATTAACAAGAGTGAAATCACATCCCGGGTCAGAACCACCACAGAAATCCGGCAATGCCAAATCAGCTCCATCAGAGAATTCGGATTCAGGATCACCCTCGGATGAATCCAACCAATTCAAATGACTCCTAATATCCAGTCCAGAACTGTGGCCTAAGGAATTGCCCACAAATCGCTTATCAACCAAATTAACAGGAACCTCAATGAAATTATTAGAAATCGTAGTGCATTTTTGAGGCACATCCGTACTTTGAACCGAAGGAAAAACCCCAGGTACAGGCTCACCCACAGAATTTTCCGGCAAAACCTCAACACAATCAGACGGTAATTTAGGAGGAAAAAACGGCACATCATTAGAGATAAGATAGAAATAACATCAAAATCCTTCTCCAGCCTTTCACCAACACACCTAGCATTCACAGTACAATTAACAACTCCTTCGCGAGCAGCATCGACAGAAGAAGGGAGAGAAACATTAGCATTATTATGATCCACAACAGCACAATTTGAAACAGCAGCAATAGGAGGAACACCCCCCACAACCAAACCAGAAATCACACCCGCATCAGGAGAACCAACCCGACAATCAACATCAGGCAAGACCACACCCTCCACATCAGCAGATTGACTATTAACAAGATTTTCATAATCTAAAGCATCTCGCTCAAATACAACATTACATAATTTCGCAGAATTATCACAACCAGGAGCAGTAATCAGAACTTCAGTAGAAATAGGGACAGGAGGAATGTCCAGGGGGGCAGAGAAAACAACCGGGGAGGTTTTGGACGAAAGTTTAGGACATTCCAATTTCTTATGACCTAAAGCTTTGCAAAATGAACAAAAATTAGGCATGCCCTCAAAAATGACTTTCTGGACATACCCTAACTTCTTCGGCCCCAACCAAACAGTATCAGGAAAAGATTTGGTTACATCAATTTCTACAAGAACACGCACAACTGATGGACGGGAACCAGAAGCCGTAGCATTGTCAGTATGAATCAGCCTTCCAAAGACTGAACCCAACCCAAAAAGTATACGGTAGGAGAAAAGATGGGGATGTAATCCCGGAAAAGAAAGCTAAACAGGGACGATCGGAGATTCTTCCGACAAATCAAGAACTGGAGACCACTTTATACTTTCATAAAACAGCCATAAACTAAGTAAGATATGTGAGCAAAAACCCTAGCATAATCCATATCATTGGCAAGCTTGATTAAAACATTTGCTTGATCCAACAAAGTCACCGAAAATTCCCCAGATAATTTTAAAATAACGAAAAACCTACGAATTGAATCTAAAGAAGGACGTTTAAGGGGAAATCTCCCCACCAACATAAACTCAAAAGGCTTAGCTAGATGCAAAAATTCCTCTTCCGAAATCCATAGAGATGGCATCCCCGATTCGAAGAAATGCGAAATTCCAAAAAAAACATTCGAATTAACGGAACCAAATAGAGCATCCTTAAAGGATTTAAGTTGCTTACCCGAAAGGAAACCAGGATCAAGCAATTTTTTCGCCATTAAAAACGTACCGCCGGCAAGGTGGGTGGCGCAAGGGCAAAAGCTCTAAAAGGGCGAAAACCCTAGCAGACGGAGAGACGAGAGCATAATGCGTATTCAATTTTTGTAGTAGTTTATAAATTAGTTTTAGGATATGAGGTTGATAATTTCTTATTTACTACATCATAAATTCTCACCTCCCGTGACTTTTCTCAATTTTATATTAATGAAATATAAGTCGTAAATTTCTAATAAAATGAACAAATCAAATAACAAATTTAATTTTGAAAATTTTTAATTTAAGCCCAACATAGGATGGTTTGGAGTGCTACTAAGCTTCTTAGAATCCAATATTCCATACTCTTCATTATTTGATCTCCTGAAAAGAGCTCTTTCAAAATTGAACCAATCCTATTTAAAATTTCAAAATAACACAATTTT